AGTGCTGGGATTAAAGGCGTGCGCCACCACCGCCCGGCCCAAATCAGATGATTTTTTTGTTTTGTTTTCTTTGTTTTTTAAATGACTCCCAATAAGTATCTAAGTATATAAGTAAAAATACATTATAAATATTCTGATTTTTTCTATGTGTATTGATGTACATGGTTTCTGTTGCAAATGTGGGATAAAAAGGATGAGAATTTCCCAAGTGTTTAGAATGAAGTTTTGTTTTTAGAAGTGTATAAAAAGTTTTTCTGCATGTATATTTCCAGACTCTGGAAATATTGATGAATTCACCTGTGTTCCAATAGCCCGAGTATTCCATTCCTATTCTGAATCTCAGGTAGCAGTTGGCCTCAGGCTTAGGCTTAGGCCTACTATTAACCTTAGGTTTAGTGTTTAGAATGCACTGGATCACTTCATTTTCTCAGCAGGCATCCTATGAGTTCCCACATCTGCAACATCCTTAGGTTTCCACTAAATTCAGCTTCACCTAAGCAGCTTCTTGCAACATCTTCTTAGGGATCCTTGCAGAGATCCCAGCCCTGTCACACCTTGCTTGCTCTGTGGAGCATTCTGGATTATTGTTGCAAACTTCCTTTATCCTCCAACCCTTTCACTTTGTATATCCACAATATCAGCATTCTGTGATGATCCGAGCAAGCTGTGTGCAAGCTGGAAATGTTCTCGGCACCTTTACCACCACACTCTGGGGGCTCCTGTGCCTCCGCTGGTGAAGCTAGAAAATTACTTCTGTGGGTGATTGTCTTTAAATGGGAAGGTTTTATCCAAGCTCTCTCCTTTCAAATAAATTTCCATTTTCACAAGATGGATCCTTGAGTTGGTTGAGTCTTCCCTTAGGGTGTCTTTACCATAACACCAGTGAAGAATGTGAGGTTTCTCCTTCATGGCACTGATCTCCCTAACAAATACAGTGGCCTTTTCACACTTGCCTTTTCTATATTTTTAAACTTGCTTATTTTCCTTTCCTCTCTTATGTGAATGGTTTTAAATATTTCTCCTCTCTTCCTGCAGAGCTCAGAACAGTGAAAAGTAACCATTCTATAGCCTGGCACAGTGCATTGTGTGAACTATCTCTGTAATTATACAATCTCTTTAGCAATTATGGATTTTTTTGGTTTCTATCCCTTTCTTGTACAAATTTAACCTCACTCCTGCTACTTTCCTAACATATCTGTACATTTTATGTTTTTCTGCTCCACTTGCTATTCTTTTTCACTATAAACCTTAACAAGAGCTGTGAGCAGAAACCATGACCCAGCTGGAATACTATGCTATAGTGAATTTCCTTTCCCTGACAAATTACTCCATTTCTTCTGAATGAAACATCATTCACATTTTCAGGACACAAGTAGATTGCAGCCAGATTTTTCGACAGAATGTAAAATTCTCTAATCCTAATTCATATAGAGTGCTTCTCTCCCTGGAAACTTACGAGCTGGCACTTCACTGTCCACAGCTCTGCTGTTGTTCTGGTCCTCCTTCTCCTCCCAATCAAAATGGGATGCTCTGCTTATATCACTCTGGCCCACCCATCCCTAACTTTCCAACTTTCTTCTATAAACCAGTTACAAAGGGCTGCAAATTACATAATCATATATTCATAGCCACAGCCCCACAGTTACAATTTTCCATATTATCATTCATATTTATATAGCCTCTCTGTCTCTTGTGTGTAAAAGAAACAGGTGTGCGGGATATATTGTTTTAGTAGCATTTCTATTGCTATGAAGAAACATCATGACCAAAAGTAACTTGGGGAGAGTAAAGGTTATTTCATACTTTCAGGTAACAGTCTGTCACTGAGGAAGTCAGGGCAGGAACTGAAACAGAAGCCATGGAGGGCACTAATTTTACCAGCTTCTTCACTTCTCTTGCATACTCATCCTGCTTTCTTATAGCATTCAGGACCACCAGCCTGAATATAGTATTACCCATAGTGAGCTGGATGCTTCCACATCAATCATCAATCACAAAAATACCACACAGGTATGCCTACAGGCCAGTCTAGTACTAGCATTTTATCATTTGAGGGCCCTTCATCCCAAATGGCTCTAACTTGTGTCAAGTTGATATAAACTCATGAACGCGCACACGCATTCGAGCACACACACACACACACACACACACACACACACACACACACACACACAAACACACACACACACACACACCAGAATGGTTTAAAAGGCTCCTGGGGTTTACCAGATTATATATATATATATATATATGTATATATATGATATAGAGATAGATATCAGTCTACATCTATGTATCTATCTCTCTATCTATATTTATTTATATATACATATATATTATGTATATATATGAAATTGTGAATGTTGGTACTATATTTTTGTCCTGTTAGTTGAGAGAATCACTTGATATGCATCTGTATACGTACTTGAAAGAGAATCATGTAGTTCCAGAGAAAGACAGCAGGCTGTCACTTGCCTAGTTACACAGCAACAGAAATAAACAAAATCCATTTGGCATTATGTTGATAAATATCAACTTCAATTTTTCTTACTTATTCAAATTATATTCCCAGATACACTTCAGATATTGAATGCTTAGGGATACTTAGAAAACCTAAATGAAGACATGGATACATTCAAATTATATTCCCAGATACACTTCAGATATTGAATGCTTAGGGATACATAGAAAACCCAAATGAAGACACGGATACACAGCTAGGTAACAGACTGTGAAACATTTTCAGAACTGATACAAATTGTTGTATTTGACAGTCCAGAACTATCTAGAGCAGCCTTGGTATCAGGATAGACACACAACAAAATGTGTAAAATATGATCTTTAATGGTAAATATGTCTGTGACTCCATAAAAGCCCGTGTAAATCCACTTTTAGTGTAGGTATGCTTGTAATAGTACCTTAGTCTACTGACCTGTGTTATGATTTATCTCTTCATGTCTAACTCATGGAAGCTTTCCTAACCCTGGATCATTATAAGTCAACATTAATTCCATATGTAACTCTTTCCAATGTTACCATAAAATCCAACCTTTGAATGATTCACAGCAGAATGTTTTCTTATGTGTTCTACACATCTCTTGATTTTTGTAGTGATCTTATTAGAAAGGATTGGCTAGAGGTGTTGTTGTATTTGCTTTCCTGGTACAAAGAATACTTGAGATTAGGGAATTTATTAAGACAATAAAATTATTTGACTCATGTTTCTAAGGCCTGAGAAGCCTAAGAACATGGAGCCAGCATGTGCTAGGCTTCTAATTAAGAGTCCCTGTGCCACTGGATGCCAAAAGGTGTTAGGAGCAGACAAGTAGGTGAAAAGGACAAGGGAGGAGCAAAGCTTGTTCTTTTACTGGGAGTCCACTCTCATGCAGAGGACAGTCTAAGCCTGAGCTGCATAGATGGCCTCAGCACTTCTTAAAGCACCCGCTGTCAATGCATCAGCTCCCATCTTGCTCTTTCAAACTCTTTTTGACTATAGGGTTGGATTTCAGAAGTGAGGCAATGACTCAAGAAAGCACAAGTGGCCATAGGTAAGCAAAGCAAAGTGAGAAGTGGGAAGAAAACAAAGGAAGATGAGAGGGCTGGAGATTTGGGGGACTTGGGGAATTGGCATTGTCTCACTCAGTCATTCTCAACCTTACTTATTTTGTACTTTTTCAGTTCTTTCTACTGAACCTATTGCTTGGTGATTGGCTAGCTGGCCAGGGGCTTTCAGGGACCCCCTGTCTCTACCACCTCAGTGGTGAGCTTAAAGTCAATAGCCTCATGGCCAGCTTTGTATGTGAATGCTGGGGATCTGAGTTCACACCCTGTGTGGCAAGTGCTTTACTCATCTGTCCACCTCTACAGCTCCCATACTTTTCTACTTTTTCCCCCTTTATTGAAATGGTTTTTTTTTCTCACATTGTTTATCATGCTCACAGTTTCCTCTCCTTTTACTCCCCCTAGACCCTCCCCAACTCCCCTCCCACTTGGATCCACTCACATTCTGCCTCTCATTAGAAAACAGTCTGCTAAGGGGTAATAATAAACTAGAACAAAATATAATAAGGTAAAAGAAAAAATAACACATCATTAAATGGATATTTGTTTAAAACAGGCAAAGTGGGCACCTGCCAAGGCATGCCACTGAGCAAACATGCCAAGGGCAACAGAGTTAGTGCAAAAAGATTTGTTGGGGGAGGAAGAAGGAGGAGAGTGAAAGGCTGTCTGGGAGTAGGGACATGAGAGAGGGAGGCAGGAAGACAGACAGACAGAACAAGAAGAGAAATGAGAAGAGAGGCAAGAGAGGGAACTGTAACTGGCAAACACTTCTTAATTTTTTTTCATTGTACATACCAATCCTTTTTCCCCTTACCTCCCCTTCTCCTCTTCCACCTCCTTCTCCCCCACCC